CGCGGCACCCGCAGCGCGCTCAGCTCCGCCGCCAGCGCCGCGTTGCGCTGCTCCAGCGCCCGCACCCGCTCGATGTAGCCGGCGAAGCGCTCGTTGAGGCCCTGCAGCTGCTGCCGCTCGCTGGGCCCGGACGGGCGCAGCTCCCAGGCCGCCTCCGCCGCCTCCGCGCGCCGCCGCGGGGACCCCGCGGAGAGGTGGCGGTAGGAGGCGGCCAGCGCCTCCGGCTCCGCGCGATAGCTCATGGCTGCGGCGGCAGCGCGGCGGGCGGCGGCGGCGCTTATGTACGGCGGGGCGGAGCGGAGCGCGGGGCGGCGCGCGGGGTGCGCGGGGCTCGGTGCGGGTGCGGGGCGGTGCTCGGCGCAGTGCGCGGGGCGGTGCTCAGTGCGCGGCGTGCGCGGGGCTCAGTGCGGTGTCCAGCGTGGGGTGAAGCTCAATGCGCGGGGCGGTGCTCAGCGCTCTGCGCGGAGCTCAGCGCGGTGCCCAGCGCTGCGCCGTGCGCGGTGCGCGGTGCGCGGTGCTGGGCTCAGCGCGGTGCCCAGCGCTGCGCCGTGCGCGGTGCGCGGTGCGCGGTGCTGGGCTCAGCGCGGTGCCCAGCGCGGCAGGCGTTGGCGGGAGCTGTCCGCGCCCGCGGTGCTGAACGGCTGCGGCGCCAGGGAGTGAATGCGCGCGGGCGCAGAGGACACACGGACACGCGCAGAGACGAGACAAGGAGCCACAGGGAGAGCCACGCAGGGGCGGGCGTGGGCGCGGGGAGGCGCAGGACGCGCAAGCGGGTGCAGGGACGGGAGCTCAGGGCTCCCTGGGACACGATACCCCACGACACCCATGTCAGGTACCCTGGTCGCCTCTTGTCCCCCACCACTTGCCCCTAGTTCTCTCCCCAAGAACAACATGCGGGCCACGGGGTGCAGAAACAAGGCCAGGGCTGCAGAGACACGGTGAGGTCCATACCCTCGGGAAGAGCAGCCCCAGTTCAACGGGACTGACCGAACATGGCACCGGGATTCCCAGGTACTGGGAGCAGAGGATCTTGCTGTGCTGCTCCTCACCRCGGCGGCTGGGATCCCGTGGGACCCAGCAGCCCTGCAGGCTGCACGTGCCCCTCTACCCACAGCGGGATGAGGAGCCAGCGAGGGGGAAAGGCGAGAGGCAGGACACCAGCCATGCACACGCTTAGCAAGGGGCCAGTTGTGGCCCCTTTCTCTRGGACTCCACGCTGCTCATGGACCAGGTTGCTTCCCTGGAGCGTGAAATATCACTTGGATCCTTTTTTTTTTTTTTCCAAATCTTTCGCACAGATTTTAATTTTAGCCCTTCCTCATCGTCTCATGCTTTAGCCTCACAAAAGCCGCGTGTCCCTGAGAGCTGAGCCGTTTTCCCGCCCTTGGGAATAAGGGATCAAACGAAGCGCAGCGCCGCCCGCTCGGCCCGGCGCTGTGCGCCTGCCGCCAGGGGCCGCACTTTGGCGCCGCTCCCTTGGCCGCCCGCTCCGTGCGGCTCCGCGCCGGGTTCGCACATTCTCCCCGCTCCCTGGGCGGGGCGGCGGGGCGGGGCGCGGGCGCGCGTGCGCAGAGCGGCCGCGCGGCGCTGCGGCTCTCAGTCGTGCGGGCTTCGCCTCTTGCGAGCGCGGCGGGAGGTGAGCGCGGGTCGGGCGCGTGGCTGCGCGTGCGCCGCGGCGGCCGTTGGCGCGACCGTTGGCGCGGGGCGGGGGAGTGAGAGTGAGGGAGCCCCCTTCCCGCCTGCCCGGCCGCGGCGGGAGCCACCCCGGGGGAGGCTGCCGGCGTCCCCGGCGCGTCCCTTCCTGCGTCCCCTCAGCCCCGTGCTGCCGGCTGCTCCCGTCGCCGAGGACGGGTGCGTTGCCCCGCGGAGCTGCCCCTCGCTCTGCCCCCGCCGCCCCGTGTCGCCGGGGCCCGTCCCTTCCTGCCTTCCGCCGCACGTGGGCTGCCGGCCCGCGGCTCCCCCGGGGTGCCCGGCGCCGTTTGCCCGGGTGAGGCGCCGCGCCGGCCCGAGAGCCCCGCGCCGCGCAGGGGGGTCGTTGCCGCCCTCGCCTCGGTAGCGCCGCGCTCGGCAGGGCTCCGTGTCGGGCTTCCACTGATAGCCTGAAGGCAGGAGGCAGTCAGCAAATTAACAAAAAAAAAAAAAAAAAAAAAAGGWACCGTAAAACTACTCTCATTTTACTTGAKTTTTTTTTTTTTTTTTAATCCTTTCTGTGTGCCAAAGATAATGTTGCAAAATGTACAGCGGAAACTATCCGCGCGGGCCTCTGATAGGCTCGGTGGCTGCGCGCGGCGGAACTGTTCCGTGTAGCGCAGGCTGCTTTAAAAATTCCTGGAACTGCCGGGATTATGAAATGCTCAAGTTTGTTCCAGCGCTGCGGGGCTGCCAAGTGTGATGCTGAGGATCCTCTYGGACCTGTTCGTTCTGGTCCTCAGAATGTGCTTCCCCAGGCAGAATTATTTACTTTTGCAAAGATTTTTTTGTCTAGCTTTGCCACTGAGACCTCGTAGGTCATGTTATGCTATTCTAACTTGCTCACATAAAAACGTCTCWGTGTCAACTTGAAACTCTATCTCGTCACCAACTAAAATATATTTTACCAATCCATACACCTGCCAGCTGTGAAGACTAGTGCATCAATAGTGAATAAATTGAAAGTATGAAAATTTGCAGGTTCGTATTTACATTGGGCTTTTCAGGTGCTATGCGGTTTTACTGAAAAACTGAAAACTCAAAGCTATGTTTGATCTTCAGTTCAGGTGCTGAATTTGTAGTTCTAGCAATGAGGCGAAACTTTTAATATTTTACTGGCAAACTATTCAGCTTAGCTCTGGAAGCCTGTCACTATCCTTGTGAGCCGGTGTCAACCCTATAATCATATTTTAGGGTCGGACTGCTGTTTAAAATAATCTATTGTCATTAGTCCTGAGTCCCAAAGATCATTCAGGAACTTGCTAGTGTGATGAACAGCGATTGGAGTTTGTTCAAGCATAGACGTAGTTTCATTATATAGTACAATGCAACCTTTCCTCTCTATAGCATCATTCAGGCAATTGTATTGCGGGCTGCACCACTGAATCAAGTTGTAAGTGCTCCATAGAATTAAATACAATTGCAGAGATAAATGGGGAGAAGAACAGTAAGAATGGGAGAAATGTTTTCAGCTGAGGTTTGGAATTAAAAAGCCTGTTGATATGTTTCTTTGTTGGCGATATTGCTACATCCATTTTCTGGGATGTATGGTAGCAAAAAATCAGGTGCAGGCTGAATTTCCAGTTTATAGGAAAATTTTAGTAACGTGAAAAAAAACCCCTTTAAACATTACTCTTCTTCATGTTTGATTCCTAATACAGCTTTAAATGAAAGATAATACCCCCCCTCATAAAACCACTGTAAGTATTTATCCTAGCCTTTTATAACTTCAAGGGGAACATTTGTTTGTATGGAAACAGAAACCTTAGTTTCATGTTTATGTTAAACACTGCACTGTTTTACTCTTTGGGAAAACACCGAAAGGAATGTTATATATTTCCTTCCAAAAATTACAAGTATTTTGTTTTTGGGACCATCTCAAGGAAAAAGAACAGGCTATTAAAATAGGAGCTTTATTGGAAAAACAGAAAGGTTTCTGTGCTCACCTTGTGCCCACCATTTGCAGTTCAGCCTATTAGTAAAAGTGCTTTGGTGAAAAGCTGCTGCAGGGGCTGTTAGTTTGCGGCATGAACCGCAGGTGGGGATGGGGTTGCTGGGGTGGTTACAGAGTAGCTTGCAGCGCTCTAGCTGATCCGCAACCTTTGAGTCCTACGTAAATTGTAGATACGGGCTCGCCAGGAGGTGCAGGAAGAAGGACAGGCAGCTGGCAGCTGTGACGGGAAACCCTCGCGCGAGGGACAGAGGTGGGTGACACGGCCGTGCTCAGCAGCCCACCGCTTCGTTCAGATGGGGAGTCAGGGAGTGCTGTGGGGCCGGGGTAACCCAGCACGATGCTGCTTGCCCTTGCCAAAAGCCTGCGTGGGTTTGTAATGCCACCAAGTATCGTAGCCTCACAGAAGCTGCTTGGCCCGTGCATTAGTCATCCCTGTCCAGGTTGCTGTGGAAACTTCATGACAGCAACAGGTTCCTTGTTTGGCAAGTTTATGCCTTGTCTTGGCTCCGTGGAGTAACTTAACCTCCGCAGGACAAGAAGTGCTCCAGCATGAGCCCAGGGGAAAGGGAGGGGAGCCCAGCACTTGGAGAGAGGAGCCTCCGCGCTGTCCCTTGGGACAGCGCACGGTGCCCGCTGCGCGGCCCTGCCGTCACGGGCTCGCCAGCTGCAGGGGCCCCGGCAGGAAACAGCCACCGCGTTTAGCAGGGAGGGTGTTCGGAGAGAAAAAGGAACAGAATATGCCCAGGAGTGGGAGCCTCTTCGGGGTACGTTAACGGAGTCAACACGTTCTTTACTTATTCTTGGTGCCGTGTCTGGTTTTCAGATATTTGTGCTACTGACACTCCAAATACAATTTGAAATGGTATTTCAAGGAGCCATTGTCTAGCCTTTAAAAGTTAGCAATTATGTGCTTAAGTTTGTCTAATTCTTCAAATATCTCCAAAATACACATTCATATAAATATTTTTTTTACTGTCAGATGTCTGTTCTTTGCCACTAAAGAAATTATTAGTATATATCATGGTTGTGATGCATGAGGCAATGATTTTTATTTTGCTTTTTAATCATGATGACTCTTTAACTGGACTGATTCCTAAAACCTTGGACTGTGCACTCTGCAAAGAGAGCATTTATAACATGAGTCTGCTTTCCTAACACAGCCACAGAGAGGACCCAGCATGTACAATAAATAGAACTCAATGTACAGTAAATAGACCTTAAGCAACATCTGGAAACAATTGCATAGGTATTTAAGGTAGCCTCCGTGAGCAACTGATAATTTAAACCTAGGTAATTAAGGATAGTCTTTAAGTCCCACGTGTTTGAAGGGCTAAAAGGTGCTTGGGAGACTGTCCCAATGAAGTTAACTTAAGAGTTATACTTAACTTTTAACACTTTATTTTTAAATAAAATTTTAGGAGGTCAGGAAGGGCGTTTGAGTAATTAAGCCTAAAAAAGGCAAAATAGTCTGTTTCACATCCTGTTACTAGCTCAATGTCTAACAGAACATGCACCTTACAGTAAGGTCAGAAGCAGATTCACTCATATTTCCCTGGAGAGCAGTTAGGTCCCTGTATATGGRAGCTGTGAAGTGCTGGC